AATACAAATAAATCTCAATCCAACTCTTTGATTAATATTTTATTAACCCGCTAAACTCATGATTTAAGCTATAAGCTTTATTTAGTTAATTTATTTATTTTTACTTTATTATATGATAAATATTAAAAAAAAATTCTTATTTATTTTTACTTTATTATATAATAAAGATTAAAAAAAATTTCATCAAAAAATACCAAAAAATAAAATTAAATAAAATTCTTACTCTAAATAATGGACATGAAAAACATATTAAGAAAAAAAAAAGCCAACAACGCTTAACTGGGCTTGATCTGAAAAATCAAGTGTGTGGAACAAAATGAGGCCCAAATGTCTACCCATCCTTTTTTCTTGCTTGGTATAAAAGGCGGTTGACTTATATATAATTAATTAATTAATTAATAGTTTTGTGTAATAATCAACGTGCAAGAATAATATGAGATCACAACTTTGAGACTTGGAGGAGCAATATTTATTTTACCACTAATAAAAATTAAAAATACAAAAGTTAATATATTATTTAAAATATTTTAGAACAAAGTGAATCATTAGCTCATTGTGTTTTTCAAGTTGTTTATGTTTATATATATATATAGACACATACCGGTTTAACTGTTTATATTAACAGTGAAACCAACTATTAATATTTTAGTTGCGATTATTTATTCAACCATTTAATCAATTACATTGGAAATAATGAACTTAAGAGGAAAAATAGGGATTTGTCCTCCACCCCACAATGATTCGGAGGCTTTGGGCATCACCCCCACCCCACGCTATCAAAAGTAATCCTGGATATGTCCTCCTCCCCACAATGAGAGAGGATCACCTCACCCACTCCCATCTTGAAAATTGGAAATTTAACTTGGCATTTTATTTTTAGTATTAACCAATGGTACGTCAATCATCAAAGTTTTTCTTACATACATGCTCTAAAATTTAAATCTTAAACCTCGAAGATATGATTTTCAGGCTTTATACATTAGACAAAAATGATTATTTGGCCTTGTAATGATTACGAGAGAACATTAAAGTATTGTCCATGCTTTAAAAATAATAAAAAAACAATTTTAAAAGGCTTATTTGTTTGATGAAAAATAGTTTTTTTTTTTAAAAAATAAATTCCAAGAAAATGAATTATTTTTTAATATTTGGTAGTTTAATGGAAAATAAATTAAAAAATACTTTCTAATGTTTGGTCTGAAAAATAAGTTAGAAAATAACTTATTAATATTTTTTTTTTCAAGTTTATAAAATAATGATAACCAAATCTTATAAATAAAAAAGTTGAATGAGAATGAAATTAAAAAAATATAATTTAATAATTTATCTTAAATAAAATAAATAATAATCAAAATAACAGAGATCATATCTAACAAATAAAAAATTTAAAAGATAAAGAAATAAAATAATAACAATAACCATTTCATAAATTATTTCAAATAAAATAAGTAGTAATCAAAAGAATAAATACTAAATTTGATAGATAAAAAATTTCAATTAAAAAATGATAAGGAAAAAGCAAATAAAAATTATAAAAATGAGGACCAAAGTTTAATATAAAAATTAAATTTTAAGGGATGAAATTGAAAAATAAATATTCAAAATAAAATATATATAGCAATCAAAAGTTTGAGGAACAAATTTGATATAATCAGCAAATAATATGATATTTCTAAATTTTTCACAACTTTTGAAAAGTGTTTTCTGTCAAATTTTTCAAAAAAAACAGTTTCCTGGAAACTAAGCCAAATTTTTCTTTGACTGGAAAGTGTTTTTTGTTGATCAATTTTTCTAATAATAAACAAACACATGAAAATTTAAAAAGTAGTTTCCAAAAAATCACTTTCCACCAAACAAACACCTCTTTATCATCAAACTATTTTTCTAAAGATTTGTCATTAAATATTCTTAATGGGAACAAAAAGCTATTAACACGTACAATATAATCTTAATATTTATAGCTTTTTTATTAAAGTTTTTTAAAATTCCCATTAACACGTAAAACATATATAAAATTGATAATTTAATTTCAAAATGAGAAAATAGCTTTCATGATTTTCAAATAACAAGATTCATTAAGTTTGTAAAATTCTTAATAGAAATGATATTATATTTTTTATGAATCGTTATTAAAAAATTGAGTAATCTGAAATAATATTGTGCAGCTTATAAAAGATAATGAAAAATACTCATTTTATTCAGGGCCATGAAATCTTTTTTGTAACTATTATAGAATAATATAAATTATATTTTGGAACCTCATCTAACAGTTTAAACTTTTAGATTGAAATGATTTTTTGATATAGTATCATAGTCTTGATGACCAAGTAATTATATGTTTGAATCTCACCATCCATATTTATTTGATAAAATAAATTAAACATAAAGTAATGTATATTTTTGTAAGTTTCAAACTCAAAGAATTTTTATTTGAAGAGGTATGTTAATAAATAATATAAATCATATCCTGAAGATTCACTAATAATTTAAAATTTAAAATTAAATTAATTTTTTAACAATAACTAGTAGTCAAATGATGGCTTAATCAACTTCATCAAAACCATGAACGAGATAGTACTTCTAGAAAACCATTTTCCATCAAACAAACACCCCTTTATTGTCAAACTACTTTTCTAAAGATTTATCATTAAATATTCTTGATGGGAATAAAAAGCTATTAACACGTACTATAATTTAATTCCAAAATGAGAAAATAACTTTCATGATTTTCAAATAACAAGATTCATTGAGTTTGCAAAATTCTTAATAAAAATGATATTACATTTTTTATGAATCGTCATTAAAAAATTGAGTAATTTGGAATAATATTGTGGACCTTATAAAAGATAATGAAAAATACCCATTTCATTTAAGGCCATGAAATTTTTTTTTAACTGTTAAAGAATAATATAAATTATATTTTAGGGCATCATCTAATAGTTTAAATTTTTAGGTTAAGATAATTTTTTGATATAGTATTAGAGTCTTGATGACTAAATTATTATAAGTTCGAATTTCACCGTCTATATTTATTTGATAAAAAAAATAAATATAAAATAATGTGTATTTTTGTAAGTTTCAAATTCAAAAGGCTTTCATTTGAAGGAGTATGTTAATAAATAATATAAATCACATCCTAAAAATTTATCTAACAATTTAAATTTTTGGGTTAAATTAATTCTTTAATGTAATTAGTGATCCAATGATGATTCAATGAACTTTATCAAAACCATGAACTAGATAGTACCAGGGACTTTCAATTACTGTTAAAAGAATGTGAATAGATTAGATTAATTGGAGGCAATATTATTTTTGAAAGAATTCATGGCAAGACACAAGGGTAACTTCAATTGCAAAGAACATTTTGATTCATGATGGCTATGGACACGATAACGCTGTTTTATGCTCTCTTACATGTCATGTTGTTTTTCCTCCTCAGAGAGAGTTGCTTGCACACGAGGGTATAAACGATGGTGCTAACAAAGAGGCCATTACGATTATAGGTAGAAAGAAGGTGAAAATAGTGAGGCTAAAGATAACATACATCGTAATCAACACTGTTTATGTAACTTTGAACCCACACGTGTCCACGCTGACGACTGAAGATTCAACGTGCATACCTCATGGACTGTATACTGTGTCTTGTATCATGTGCCATTGAATTAGAAGGTCAGCAGGTGGAGGTCCCGGATTGATGCATTTATGTGTATTAAAAAAATCTTAATATATATATATATATATATAATTAATTTTAAAAATTAATTTATTTTTTTTAAAATGCTTTTACAACACATGCCTAGCAAATACAGAAAACTGGTGAAGTCATGTGTCAGATTTGTTTACGCATAAAAACACCTCGTTCTCTCACTGTCACTGTCTCAAAGGATCAACGAAAAAGACAGAAACCAAGAAAATGGAGTTAAGCGACTCCATTAGCACAATCCTGAAGTTTAAAAAAGTTCCACATTTAATTCCCATTAACGCACCACTCAAAATGGAGTTAATTTGATTTATACATTAACCAAATTTCACATTTCTCTCTCTCCCCCTCACTCCACCCCCCCCCCCCCACAACCCC